ATGCACTTATATTTGGGGGAATTGGGGGGGGGGGGTAGATGGTTTCTGATCTTTTATTCGTTTTGAATTTTCATTACCTACGTATATAATCCCATAAAATCTTTCAATAGTCAACAATTAGCTTAATCCAATCAAAATTTTTTGCTACATTTCAATAGATGGTTTTGTTTCGATTTCCTATTTCTTTGCACTTCCATCCCATAATATCACCAATTTGCAATAATTTTAAAATACATTTGGAAAAGCGTCCTCTAACAGTCAGTTTAGAAGGTGAAACTCACTATTTAAAATGTCTAAATCTCCCACGACCATTTCCAATTTGACAATCTCATTGGCTGGTCACTGCGTTCACCGGTTGCTTGCCGATGGGTATTAACCAACTTCAAAAGGTTATAGCAATTGATGAAATGGTGAGGGTGTGACCATCTCTTCTGTCTTGATGTTCACCCCGCAGCCCGTTCGTTGCTGACAGGTTAAATACTTCTCTAAAGTCCTTTTTGTTCACTTTAATAGGGCATCTATCATTTAACTACTTCATGAAATTTATTTATTTATTTATTTCAAATAGCAGGTATCATTAGCCCTTTAGTTGACTTCGGGCTTCACAGAAAGGAAGAGGAACGTCAAAGTGGCAAAAAGTCGAGAGAGAGGGACAGAATAATGATTCACAGACGTAAAAGGGACAGACAGACAGACACAAAGGTAGAAAAAAGGTGAGGTGAGTACTGTGGAAGTAGTCGAATATGACATAAAGTGGGGTCATGGCAGTTTGAGGTCAGAGGTCAACTGCCGGTTAACAGACTTTTTTGCCGTATGAGAATACGTTGCCCAGAGTGCACCACGAGGAGGTAAGTCTATCTCACACCGCACTTCATGAAATTTAAAATAGTGAACTTGGATGCTCGAATCCAGTACATTCTCTCTCTCTCTCTCTCCACGTTACTTTCACCTTGTAATGGCAGAAACACAATCAAGCGCAAAAAATACTCAATGCAGATGGGTATTATTAGGATATTCAATTACAATTAATGCGGAAATGCGCGCGAGGCCGAGGTAATGGGTTAAAGGGTGTGCTTGTTTTTTCAAACCGTGCCTGGATTATGTTTACGCTTGATTTCTTAAAAGCACGCAAAATGTCAAATCCGGGGGGGGGGAAGAGGGAGAGGGGGAGGGGGAGGGAGTTGTACCATGTGAAAGGAGGGTTGTTTGGTCGGCTTTCACAAGTGCACTAATAAAGGGCATTATTTTGAATTAACTCGCTGCGCGAGGATTACTCAGAAAGACTGTAGTTAATCGCAGTATTTCAAAAGTGGAGAGTATTTTAAATGTCGCTTTCATTTTATGAATTTGGTTAATTAGTATTTTATTTGTAATTTTGAGATTAAGAATGCCGAAGTACACGCTTTCTTGACCAAATAAGCCAATTGAAGCTTGACCTCCACAAGCATAATTGAGATGCAAAATGTCAATTGCTAGATAAATAATTGAATACGCTAATTAAGAAAAGGAAAGATTCATATTGTTCTAAATAATATATACATTACTACAATTCATTTGTTCATACTCCCATATATATTTTTCTAAAATTGAGTATTTCAATTTTTTCACTAAAAACTTTTTTCCTTTTCAATAACTGTTTAAAATAAATATGTGTGAAATGGTTGCTTGGGAAATTTAGATTAAAAATGAAATTTTTATTAATATAAGGCGCTAAAAAATTTGTCTGAATAGTTCAATTCCCACATTTGTTCTGATCGAATGCATATTTTTAACAAAAAATTTATGCGCATATAAATATATATATATATATATATATATATATATATATATATATATTATTTCGAATTTTCCTTAAAGCAAGCTATATATACTTTGCTATTTCTTTTGCCAATTATTATTACATTTTGACTAAGAATTAAACAAATTCAATAATTTATAATTGAATAAGGCTGTGCCATTTCCTATTGGATATTTTGGTGACACATATTGAAAAATCACTTTGAATTATGCATCTCCAAGTGCGCTCTATATTGTAGGAACGACAAATTTGAAAATTTGCCGTTCGTTTTTCTTTGAAATTAGTGACATTTCGTGCGTCAAGTGTTTACCGAGTGCGAGAGAGTTCAGCCGCCTCCCAGCTATAACAGCAAAACAGAGGAGCAAGGGGGTGGGGTTCAGCCAACAGAAATGCCATTCACTACTTTTATTCACCATTCATTTTGAGTTGCTTTGGCTTCTAAAGAGAACGAGAGAGGTGGGGGGGGGGGGGGGGGGGGGGGGGGGGGGGGGGGGGGTGGAAGGACGGTAGGGTGAGAGAGAGAGAGAGAGAGCGAGGCCTATATTCATATATCTGTTTAAAATTCCAAACAAAAAACGGCTTTTCCCCAAACTCTCACCTTACTTGAAACCCAACTCTCCTACGGTTTCTTCTCCAATCCACACTTAAAAATCGACTTTCTACTTTTTTTTTCCCGAAATCCACGACTTCGTCCATAAACAGTGGCAAAAAATATATATATATATATATATGATCGTTCACCAATTCAGAAGATGTATACTTTTTTTCTACAAATAAAATAAGCAACTAAATTGTTTACGTCCACATGACAGGTCGATAATTAATTGGAATGCTTCTGATGATAAAATCAAGCCATCCTCTTTCCATTTTCGGGAAGTTTCCTTTTTGTTCTACAATACATTAAAGGGAGAGGTGACATTTTCTCGCCCTTGAAAGCTCCTTTTTGCTTGATGATTCATGTTTGCGGAGAGAGAGAGGTAGGCGAGTGAGTGAATGTGGCAGGAACTTTGAAAAATTCGTTCCAATTATGTTCCAAACGATGATTCCCATACGTGTAAATGCCTTCTGTAAAGTTCCGGCAGAGCAAACTTCAGTGGTTGGTTAAAAGCAAATATGCGGATCACTGCCTTTCTTTTAAGTAAACTTTAAGTGGGATTATCTTCTGAAAGGTTTCGGGTGTTTAAAAAAATATGCTTCAGGGTTTAGGCAGGGGGAATAAATCATGTGAATGGCATTCCTTATTTTAGTGTGTGATGATGGAGAAATCGGTTCTCCTTTTAAATGAAATATTTATTGTCCTTCGTTATTAGGACTAAACACTTTCACAAAGAGATTATACTTGAATCTCGAATCACTTGATTCATCTAAGGTGCACACTGTCTTTAGGCCGATTTGAGGATGTGTTATTGCAATGCTCAAACTTCATTGACGGTCGATAAGTTAGTTCATTTGAATTCAAGAGAATTTGGAAATAGTTGCTATATTACAAGGTTAGAATTTCCCTTACCAACATTTTCTCACTTACCCACACTCAATCGATTGATAGTAATCCTCATTTATGAGTCATTAGAATTGAGTAATATTTTGTTCGTATATAGACCACCTTCTAGCAATTCCATCTAGATTGGTGATGCCTAATTGGATTGTGTCTCTTTTACAAAATATTCACAGAAGAGGCTGTGATTAATTAAACATTTATTTATATTAAATGGCAGGCGTCTTGATGGTTATCATTAGCCCTTTAGTTGACTTCAGGCTTCACAGATGGGAGGGAACATCAAATTGAAAAAGTCGATAGGGGGGGGGGGAACAGAAGAGTGTTTCAAAGATGTAAGGGAAAAACACAAAGGTAGAACAAAGGTGAGGTGAGTACTGTGTAAATAGTCGAATATGGCGTAGAGTGAGGTGATGATTGTTTGAAGTGAGAAGTCAACTGCCAGTTAATAGACTTTTTTGCCGTATGAATATACGTTGCCCAGGGTGCCCCACGTGGAGGTGCCCCGATTAATTAAACATAATATCCGACCTTATTGTTTTATCGGTGAGAGCTAATCAACTTAATTAGTTAAACAGAAGCACAAGGGAAATGCAACCTTCGAAGATCCTATTCAAATCAATTATATTTCAGAAAATATCAAAGTAAATGTGCGGTTTCAATGTCGGGAAATGGACAGTTCTTACTACGAATGAAGTTGCACTCAATGTCATTTTAAAGAACGAAAAGAAGCCGATAGGACCAAAGGTCACTGTTGGTGGTATTTTTTTAACTCGGCATGCTCAGTTTTCAGGACTTTTCTCTCAATCACTCACCATTTCTTTGGTTCACCTCACTACTCCTGACAGCTAGACAGTTATCAAACAAAGGGTGTTTTGATCGCCATCATCAACTCTACGAAGTCAACTTGTGGTTCAGCATGAAACCTCTTTAAGTTAATAATAGTAATAAGTCTTATGTTGATCGTATTTGTCTGCCTCAATTGTAGTGTAGTGATTTCTATTTGCAAAAGACACTTAATTTTGCTAAACTATTAGGATACTCTCACTATGAAATTTGCAGCTTCTTTGAATTCAAAGATAACAATGGTGCATTGGTGAAATAGGTACCCAGTTTCGAGCCACAGGAGATCTATCAACTGACGAATTCTACTACTTGTGTGCTTACCTTTTCTCAAAATGAGATTGTTGATTTCATGGTTTGATTAGCAAATAATGTGCTATATCATCTATAGCTATATATATATATATATATGTGGTGTTGGAATTAAGGCAGGTATTGTGCTATTTGCCACCAACCGAATGCGTTTCCCAGACACTAGGCCAAAACCACGAGCATCACTAATTCATTCATTAATTTTCATACTTTTTCTACGTTACTTGATGAATCATAATAATTAGACCAGTAGCTGGCATTTACCGTGGAGAATTTTAGCTCCTCTACAACTTTCCTCCTCCCCTCACCTCACCTCACCCCCTTCCCCCTCACCCCTCATCCTCTATGGGGTAACTAATTGTGAATTGTAAAAAAATTCTCGACAGCAATCATCACTAATCAACCAGATTAAAAAAATTGGCCCGATCACACATGTGTGCACGTTTCTGAAAGTGCAGGTTCAGGAGATGTTTGAAAACCGCTTTGTGTTAATTAATTTACTAAACTATAATCATTATTATTGTTTCATTTTAGCCACGTGGAAGAAGAGGCATGCCGGGGAGAATAGAAGTCGGTAGTCGATGGGTGCAAATGGAAAACTCCGGAAACAGTCTACAGAACTTTGAAGTTGCCTATGACGATGATAGCCAAGGTTGGTAAAGTTCATTTGAAAGAGGCCTCTAAGCGCTCGGATGCTCACACAGTGTTTAATAACTGCACCCAGTTAGTTGGACAGTTGCGTGAAGTATTATTTATTTATATCAAGTGGCAGGCGTTTTGATAGTTGTCATTAGCCCTTTAGTTGACTTCGGGGCTTCACAGAGGGGAAGGAAAATCAAAGTGAAAAAAAGTTGAGAGGGGGGGGGAATAGAAGAGCGATTCCAAGATGCAAAAGAGACAGAGACAAAGAGACAGAGAAAAGGTAAGATGAGAACTGTGGAAGAGGTCGAATATGACATATAGTGGGGTCATGGTAGTTTGAAGTGAGAAGCCTTGGTGTATAAGTATACTTTGCCCAGGGTGCACTATGTGGAGATAAGTCTATCGCGCACCCCGTTGAGTGAAGTATAATAGGCTCCCAACATTGTTTCATTAGCTACTGTAAACGCAAAATGAAGTTATTCCTGAGCCGATAACTTCGATTTAATTTTTAGGGTAACCACTGTTCTGCGCGATTTTAATTGGACGAAATTATTAAAAATTGACCACATGCATGTAAAGTATAAGCTAATATAATTGGCATTAAAGTAAGGAAACATTCTGCTATCATTTCTTGGCCGATTGGAAAGATTGTTATTACCTCCAGACAAGGTAAAGTTTTGTGTCAGCCTTAATTGTTCAGTAAAATCTGGCCAGGGTGAACCACTTGACCGGACTAATTAGGAAAAAAGCGAAGAAGGGTCGAATAGGTGTAGAAAATGAAGTTGAAATAAGTTAACTGTCCACCCTCTCGATATGTTCTAATATTTCTTTTGTGTAAATTAAAGTTCTTTTTAACATTGTTGTCACCCTAAGACGTCTACTTTTCTGCCGCGTGATATTGGGCCAGATTACAGTCGGTTCCGACTAAGGAAAAGCAAGTCCTTTTCCTCAATGTATTTTCTTTTTAATTCAATAAAAAATATATGAAAAAGATTTGCGCACATAGGACTAAGGCTTAAAGAATGAATGAAACTATACGGAAACGATGCCACTTTGTCCCGACTAACTACCACTTTGTCTGGTTATACCCTGCGGTAATTGCTCATCATAAGACACAGCAAAGACTCCGTGACCTTGAGAATTGACTGTTGTCGCCTAGCCAAACAAAAGCGCTTTAAGCATATCTGAGAGTTTACTCAAGGTATTATTAATCTATGTACGCCGTTGTTCCACTCCACCAATTCATTTGCCATTGCAAAGTAACGGTTAAGGATGACAGCACTGGGTTGAAATTCAAACTTTCGTAGCGCGCCTGCAATGAAATGGATTCAAGGTAGAAAGGCATCGAATTGATCCTCTACGAATTCACGCTTTTTCAATGATACTGTCTGATTAGCCTGATTCAAGGAGCTTGAAGATGATCATAGGATCCCATGAGTTCACCTAAATTAAACAGTTCTCACTCCCTACTCTACTGACTCAGGAAGAGATCTAAGACCAACCTACACGCATTGAAATAAATTGGTTTACCAAATAAGCGTCTTTAAAGCATATTTCAACGCAATTTGGCTCATTTTAGGCCATCAAATAGTTTGCATAACTATAATTCATAAATATGTGCATATATTTAATATACATTTGGTTTATTTTAGATGCTTATTCCCCACCCGACGAAGCAGTCTACCGAAGCAACGCAAATCTCTCCTCAGGTGGACTCAATGATGGCCTCACGCCCAAACCCCCTCATTCTGCATTTTCGGATGGCTCAGATCTTCTAGAAACAACCGTTGTCCCACGTCCAGAAACACCCTCTCAGACTCTACACCATCATCATCATCACCATCATCATCAGCAGCAGCATTCCCTTCATGGTCAAACGTCGTCACAAACTCAAGCACTTATGTCGTCTTCATCGTCTCAAAGTTCTGCAAATGCCACTCCAACATCCTCCACCTCGATGATGATGATGTCTCATTTCCATCACCACTCTCAGCAACAGCAGTCTGGTCTAATAGACAAACGAGTGTCACAAGAATTTATGCATGATCCGGCTTCTCTTGAATGGAGAAACAGTGTTCAAAGACATACGCACATCAATGGTCCAGATGGAATGAATAGTAAGTTAGTATATTGTAAAATTTACTTGAGCCAACTCCATGGCAAATTCCGTCTTCAGATTATCTTCCCCCCCCCAATCAAATCTATTTACAAATATTTTATTTATATTTATTTATTTATATCAAATGACCGGCTTTATGATGGTCATCATTAGCCCTTTAGTTGACTTTGGGATTCACAGAGAGGAAGAGCAACATCAAAGTCACAAAAGTCGAGAGAGGGAACAGAAGAGTGATTCACAGATGAAAAAACGACAGACAGGCACAATGGTAGAGAAAAGGGTAAGGTGAGTACTGCGGAAGGGGTCGAATATGGCATTCAGCGGGGTCATGGTAATTTGAAGTTGACTTCGGGCTTCAGAGAAAGGAAGAGGAACACCAAAGTGAAAAAAAGTCGATAGGGGGACAGAATAATGATTCACAGACGTAAATGAGACAGACAGACAAAGGCAGAAAAAAGGTGAGGCGAATACTGTGAAATTATTCGTATATGAGATGCAGTGGGGTCTTTGTAGTTTGAAGTCAGAAGTCAACTGCTGGTTAATAGACTTTTTTGTCGTATGAATATACGTTGCCCATGGTGCACCACGTGGAGGTAAGTCTATCGCACACCCCTGATTAAAGATTATAATTTTCATCGTATTTTCGCATCTTTAAATAGTTAACATTTATTCTATCCTCATATCAGATTAGCGTATTACTATACGAAGTAGAGTCGTTTACTTCAAAATCCTGATTCCAAATTTGTCAGTTATCACTCTCGCAAAATTTTGAAGATCTGTATATTTCATGTGGTTAATGGAATGACGCAAAATATTTCGCAATTATTAAAAATGACGAGGGCCTTTGAAAGGGCCTTTTATGCAAAAAGTGAAAATTTTTTTGGCGAAATGTATTTTTACCTCTCTCTCTCTCTCTAAAGTGTACAGCCTCATTAATCATTGTCAAAATGTCTGACGCCGGATGTTGTTACCTCACAAACAGCTCGGCAAAATAAATATTTACGAAGGCGAAAATACTCCATAAGCCTTTAAGATGCAAATACATTTAAGCACAGAGACAGTGCAATTGTCTAATTGCGCAGCTAATTACCGGAGATACTACATTTCATACTGTTCAAATCGGTCATTCAGCGATCACAATTCAATTAGTTTCAAACTAAATATATATATAACAGAGGGATCGATCGGGGGTGGGACATGATAATTAACATTAGGATTTCATTCACTAGGAAGCAATTGTTAATGATGAAAAAGAATTTTGAAACACACGAGGCAATAGAGCAGTGGTCAATGTGGGCATCTGCTACGTCAGAGATCACGAGACAAATGAGGATATAACCCCTTGAAAACATGTTTAATACACTGTTCATACGTCTATTTGCATAATTCTCATATTTATTTGATATGGCAGACGTTTTGATAGCCATTTAGCTAACTTCAGGCTTCGCAGAGGGAAGGTTCATCAAAGTAGCAGAAAGTCGATTGATGGGGAACAGAAGAGCGATTCACAGACAGACACAAAGGTAAAGTGAGTACTGTGAAAGTGGTGGAATATGACATACAGTGGGGTGATGGTAGTTAAAAGTCAGAAGTCAACTGTCAGTTAATGGATTTTTTTGCCGTTTGAGAGCACGTTGCCCAGATTGCACCACGTGGAGGTAAGTCGATCTCACATCCCGCATAATTCTCATAAACATATTTATATTTATATACTTCAACAGCTTTAATAACCTAGTATTTTGTACTTAATTAAAGACCCGATACAACCTGAAATGCCAGGGCCACCACCACCACTTCGAGGACTACCCCCCGGACGACTTCAAGTGCCCGGTCAACAACCACCATCATACCAGCACCACCCCTCTCCTCTCCCCACTTCTCCTCACCATCATCATCAACAACAACACGGTCCACCCTCTTCGATGCAACCCAACATTCCTTCACAGTCTCAAACTCAATCACAGGGTCCACAACCTCTACCCCCACCACCGCAGTCATCGCCGAATTCTGCTGCAGACACGAGCTCCAATCATGGCGGAGGTCCAATGGGCTCGCAGACATCAGGGGCTGCCGGTAGTGGTAGTTCTTCCGAACCCACAACCGTAGTGACTTTCTTCGTGTGCGAAGTCTGTGCCTCAAGGTATCGATCGACTGCGGGTCTGAGGTATCATTATCACAGTCAACACGCAGGGTATACTCCCCGAAATCCCATTTCCGCTTCGGCATCCAGAATCAGCATACCAACTTCGGAGTACAATAGATTTGCACCTAATACGGGTCCTCGTGGTGGACGGAATGGTAGAACGAAAAGAAGCCGAAGTAAGCTTATAAATACTATGCTGCTTTGAATTTGAATGTATGGAATAGAATCAAGAGAGGCAGGGTCCACTTTGGTTAAATAAAGACAATTGACCGGGATTTTTTGCATGGATTGGAGTCAATTTACTCCTTAACCCTTATAATGAAATACACTTACTCTTGATTTCTAATCTGTGCAATTAACACTTCTCACTGATATGTTTCTGGTTTCTAAACTGTAAACTAAAAGGCCGAAGTCGCTTAGGCAAATTCTGGGGTCTAAAGGTATACAAAATATTATTGTGAAAAATAGAGATTGGCAAAGTTGTCATCATGTCTACTGGAGCTTAGAACTCAAAATATCACTGCAGTGTGCCAAAACACATTGATGAGCATAAGGAGCTACATCGAAGCCGCTTGTTGACGTTGGTCTTCACCCCGAGAAAAGGCGGTAAAATTGCCATCTTTGTTCGTTAACTTCCTCTAAATTAGGAGGCTCTGTCTATATCACACTTTAATAGAAGGTCAGCAATTTCTTACTGAACATATTTATTTATTTATTTCAAATGGCAAGCATTTTGATGGTTATCATTAGCCCTTTAGTTGACTTTGGGCTTCACAGAAGGGAGGAACATTAAAGTGGGAAAAATTCGACAGGGGAAAAGAAGAACGATTCACAGATGTAAAAGAGACAGTCAGACACAAAGGCAGAGAAAAGGCTAGATGAGTACTGTGAAAGGGGTCGAATATGACATTCAGTGTGGTCATGGTAGTTTGAAGTCAGATATCAACTGTCAGTTAAAAGAATTTTTTCCGTACGAGTATACGTTGCCCAGGATGCACCACGTGGAGGTAAGTCTATCGCACACCCATTTCTGAACATATTAAAATCGNGTTATCATTAGCCCTTTAGTTGACTTTGGGCTTCACAGAAGGGAGGAACATTAAAGTGGGAAAAATTCGACAGGGGAAAAGAAGAACGATTCACAGATGTAAAAGAGACAGTCAGACACAAAGGCAGAGAAAAGGCTAGATGAGTACTGTGAAAGGGGTCGAATATGACATTCAGTGTGGTCATGGTAGTTTGAAGTCAGATATCAACTGTCAGTTAAAAGAATTTTTTCCGTACGAGTATACGTTGCCCAGGATGCACCACGTGGAGGTAAGTCTATCGCACACCCATTTCTGAACATATTAAAATCGTTATGTAAGACCTGTTTACATTAAATCAAACCACTCAAACCACTCGAGAAGGCACACAACCAAGCATTACGACTAATTACTGGAGGGATAAAATCAACACCTATTGATGCAATGCTCCTAGTTACAGGAGGCTCCACAATATGTTCCCTTATCAAAGAAAAGGCCTTGATCCTGTATGGGAAGCTACTGCGCATTCCCATGGGTAAGTTCTTCAGCACCTATGAGAATAAACCAAGACATCTGAAAACGCAATCTGGTCTAATACAGAAAGCCATAGAACTGAAGAAAGGATTGCAGATCGATGACAAGCCAAAAAGCCTCTCTCCACCCATGAATCCATTCGCAGACACTGCTGTAGTGTGTTGCACCCTACTGCTTGACTTCTTCAGGAAATCAAACACCCCTCTAGAACAGATGCGCTCACTGGCGCTTGAGACAATCAATGTCAACTATCCTGGAGATCATGGCTCCAAGTTTTCACTGATGGGTCATACATAGAAAACCAATTAAACGTTGGTGCAGGTGTCTACTCTGAACTCTTCTCTTTATACGCAGCAGTGGGACACAACAGATTCGCTTTTGAAGGAGAAATAGAGGCCATTAGGATAGCACTATGCCAATTATGTTGCCTGGATACGAAATTCACCAAAGCGGTGATACTTTCGGACTCACAGTCAGCAATAGACTCTATTGGAAAGAGAGAGCCACCCAAAACGGCTGAGATAAAGGAATGTAGAAAACTCTATCAGCTGCTGAGAGGGAAAAACAAAACAGTGGTCATACAATGGATTACTGGTCACTGTGGCATTAAAGGCAATGAGCTTGCTGACACACTTGCTAAGAAGGGGACTACGATTTTGCAATGCATGGACCGGCCGATGTCTTTCCACACAATGAAGGCCTTAATCAGGAGAGAATTCCAGACCTCAAGGTGCAACGAACTTAAAGCTCGAAGAAAGGAGAAACAGTGGACAGTGGCACTCTGTGACATAGCCGACTGGCCAAGAATCGAAGCTGTTGCTGAGTTTAGACTACGTATCGGACACGATTGCTTGGCAAAACACCTTCACTGATTGGGAGTATACACTCAGCCCACATGCCCTCTATGTAACCTACATGAGGAAATGGAGAAGACCCACCTGATTCGGTGTCCAGCCCTAAAGCCAAGGACGGAAACCCAGAGATACTGGGAAGCAAGAAGACAGCTAATGAACTGCTATTAATTAACTGCTATACATTAAACGTAATTGGATGTTCATTCCTATTTGAAGTAAATCTGTTGAAGTTGTCAATTCCAAATTTGCCGCTGCTAAATATGTACTTACCTTTACGAAATATAGTTATAAGTGTGTTGCTTGTAACATGTGCTAAGTACAAAGTAGTTGAGATATGATTTTATAATTCAATTTGACTTTATGAGAGTCTTAATTTCTCCGTTTTGAGTACTCTTTTCACGAGGTGACAAAGTAGTGTTTAATGAAATCTGTCCAAATATGGGGGAGGGGGGAGTTTGGGGTTACAGTAACTCAATTACAATCACAAATTCTAGTGTTTGAATACATAAATCTACATTGCACAAAAATAATAATAAGTCAAAATATCGAGAATTCCGTATCTACGTGGTTTTTTGTCAATTGACATCATATGCTAGATTGTTGCAGATAATTGTTTGATCTAATTCCTGCTGGAAGGGGGGGGGTGGCTTAATACTTCTTTTGAATTCAAGTGAAAAAGTAAATGCTGCTACAACTGACAGAGTTGTGTAACGAAGCGTGCTGTGAATACTACACACAGATAAATACTTTACTAAGCCATGGTAATCCTCTCACAATTAGCTGGGCTGTGCTCAAAGCAGTGAGCAGGAGAAGGCGGAAGGGCGTTTGCAACTGCTATGGCGAATTGAAGAATATGATCAGTACTTAAGTGTCTTTACTTTGAGGGAATAACAATTGCTTGTTAGCTTATAAGGCTCCTGCATGCATGACCGCACTTTCTAGAGTGTTCTAACCCACGAGATTATTTTGGCCAGCTGTGGTAGCATTATGTGTTCCACAAACGCGAGCGATCCACAGATCGATAAAAATCTAGACTCCGCTCTCGCCTATGGGTTGGAAATCTTCCATCTCAACACAATGCTAATACGCTGTGAACTTCAGTCTTGTTCTTTGGTGAGAGGGGCCTAGAGGCATAGGAGATTTCGGCGTTTTGGAATCACTTCAAGTAGCATCAAAGCTACTGCTTTGTTGACGCATTAAATGACTGCATCGAAAATTAACCTAAACATTTGACTTCCTCGTAGGAAGTGATCAATTAATTTTTCCAATTTTGCTAAGCCTTTATCAAGGTTTCCCACATCCATTATCCTACTCAATGATGGAGTTTGTTTGGATAATATACGTTATTTCTTGATGTTTGTGTAAATGCTTTTGTCACGGAAATTACCACAGTCATATAGTTGAGATAAAGAAGGTAATAGGTCATATTATTGAATATTCATAGATTAATTTCTAGTTAAAAATGAATGTTACAAGTGGAGAAAATGTTCACTCGTCCGCTATCTGCCCGACTGATTTGTATTGTTTTTTCACGCAAACAGTAGGTTTTTGATCCTAGAATCCATGGATTTGGCATGGAGTATATTGCATTGCGAATTATAGACACAATTTTATACATTACTCAGGTTATTTTGGGTAAGTAGATATGGCACTTGGTTTAATTATTTAGTTATTCATAAGTGAATTATCTTCTTATTGATTTTTCATATATTGCTAAATATTGGCATTTAAGGAGCGCTTGATCCTTGCACTATCAAAGATGCAACGATCAAAGTGGAATGTCCATTTTAATTTTTAGGCAGAACGAGGATTAGTGCATCTCCAAATATTTTTGAATGCCCATCAACAAAGTTGGAAATTTAGAGTCCCCTTTCAAGGTATCTTTTCCTAGTGGAGAAGTGAAAATCCTGTCTTTCCTCAAACATTTCCTTCCATTTATAGCAACTCATTCACTTATACGCTTAGCACAAATAATTATATGACACCTTAAAGAAGATAATTATATTGTGAAATGATATATATATATATATATATATATATATATATATATATTTAACATTATAAATTTTTACAATTACAATAAAATTATGGCTTTTATTTGAAATCGCATAAATGCGCTCATCGATTTATTGAAATTTCACTTTGGACTAGAACTATCAATTACATTTCTTATAAACATTTGAATTGGACATCACATTTATCTTGAAATCTGGTGATTTCAAGCTTGAAAATGGAGATTTGGTTCTTTAAGTGCTTCACGACTGTATTATTTTCTATTTTATCCTACAATTCTAACCTAATTAAGGCCAAACAGTGGAAAAAAGCATTTTAACAATTAACTTTACTTATTTTATTGAAGATAATTACCCAAGTTTTCGGACCGGTGCCACGACTAACAAAGGTCGGGGGTTGTCAGCAGCGAATCAACAGATTGTGAACCAAAGGGGCGGATCCCAGATGCCTGGTGAAGGTGGAGAACCCGATCCCTACCACGTGCCCTCGGCCAACACACCCGAGGAACCTCATCCACGAAGTGTCTACTCTAGCAGTAAGTTTGTAGTTGTTTTGAAAGTTGTTTATATCAAATGGCAGGCTTTATGATAGTTATCATTAGCCCTTTAGTTGACTTCAGGCTTCGCAGAGAGAGTGGAACATCAAATCGAAAAAAAGTCTAGNGGGGGGGGGGGGTGAACAGAAGAGTGTTTCAAAGATGGTAAGGCAAATACTGTGAAAGTATGAGTATGGCATACAGTGGGGTCACGGTAGTTTGAAGTCAGAAGT